CATTTGTGAGAGCCAGCTGGCTTGTCAGGGGCAGGCAGTGGCATGGCTGCGGCGTGGCTGCCAGCCTCCGCAGGCAGCCTTCCGTGTCCATGGCAACTGCAGGTCTCAGGAAAACCAAAAAGCACATCGGGCTTTTGCAGGAACATCAGCTACCCCTGAATGAAAGCTTCTGCACAGAATGCTTGAGAATGAAAAAATATATATACATATGGAGAGAGAGAGAACATGGAAGGGTATTTTCTAGCTACTGTTAGTTCATTACTAGAAATATCAGGACTCTTAAGATCTGCTATCAATTAACATTTGAGTCATAATAGGACATCTCATTCTGATTTTCATTGCAAATGGCCTGATGTGTTTGGTACATTTAGTATCACTTTTGGAATTGTTCCAACTTGTAAATTATATAGCATCCGGGATGACGTATGTGAATCACTTAGTGGATTATAAAGCTCTGTACACCTGCAATATGTGTGATTTACTGTACCTGCGTAGTGCTGAGGACACCTGTCTCTCTCAGTTCTCTTACTCTGGGTAGATATGAATAGTGGATAAAAATGAGAAGATTCTGAAAGAATAACAATTCAGGGTCAAGTTATGCAGGGATTACATGGACTTTTGCCCTTTACTTCCACTCCTGTCCTCAGAATATTCCAGTGGTTACAGAGCAGCAGGCAGTGGAAAAAAGGGAGTGGTGACCTAAATAGTTCTGTGCTAAAAAAAGAAAAGATAGCAGTAAAGAAAATTTGGGGGGGAAACACCCATAATGCTACCTTCCAAACACAAGAATAATGGATTTTTAAAAAATTTATTCACACCCTTGGTTTCAAGGAACAGAAATACACTCAAGCCAGCTTAAATTTAAAAAGAATACAAGATGACTTTATTGGAAAGATAGGGATATCTCAGAGAATCCAAGCGTAGAAAGCAACATCTCCTGAGAAACTGGCTTTAGGGATGAATCGGAAAATTCCTAGAACCCAAGCAGACAAGCTCCCCCCTTCCTCTCCTGCTCCGAGGCAGCCTGTCTCAGTGTCCACTGCTCTCCTGGGTCTGGTGCCTGCATTTGGCCCCTCTCTCTGCAGCGGCACAGCCTAGTTCATTTGCACATGGCCCACTCTCTGTTGCCCCAGAATGCTACCCTCAGTCCCAAAGTCCTCATCTCTTCCCAGCAAGGCATCCACCGATTCAGCCTTAGATTCCAGTTTCCCAGGAGAGAGAATTTTTGATTGCCCAGTCCCAGTCTCCAGCTGGGCCCCTCCTGGGTCAAGGTCCACCTCCAGAGCACGAATGTGATCACAGGGGCCCAGCCCAGGTGGAGGAAGTTCTTAGAAGAGGGGTGGGGCTGGGAAGGTATCCTTAGTGCTGCAAAGCACTTCCGGTGCTTGTCTGTTCTTTTGTTGTATTTAACATTCCTGCAGTCGTAAAGTACTTCATTGAGCTATTTTAATAGTTTTTGCTTTGTTTTATGAAGTATGATCTTTGAAACCATGGTGTGAAGTGAGTTGTTAGGATTATCTGAGAGCTATAGTTGTTTGAGTTCTCTTAGATTACCTCATAGCCAAAAATCAAAAATTATCTATATTCGAATAATGTTCTCATTGAATCTTTTAGTCATTTTCCTGCATCCTTTGTTATTTGCAGTTACTTTTGAGAATTCTAAAAATATTCTTTGCAGATAGGTCTAGTTCATTGGAAAAATAGTGATTACTCATTTTCTTATAATGCTAAATAGCCAAAGCGAATTTCATTCCCTTTTTTCTTTTCTCATTGTGTATGTTGAGCCATAAAGTCAAAAAAAATACCCATTTCAGAGAAAACGTTTTCAAATATACTTGCTCCTCACAGCCAAGGCAAAACCCCCTCATCACCATGTTAAAACTCAGCAAATTGGAATCGATTCAGGTCTCAGTTACGAAATGAGAGAACCTTGTTTTAATTAGTCACTTAGAAACAGACCTGCAACTCCTGAAGTTTAGCCAAGTTAAATTTCAGACCTAAATGGTGCCAACTTAAATGTGAAAGAACATGATATAAATCACAGAGTTCTTACTTTGGTATAATTTTTTCCCAGAAGAACATTTCAAGACTTCTAGATGTAAATCGTTTTGGAAGAGAGGGTCAGAAAATGCTAGTATGTTTATGTATACACTGAATTATCTACAGATGAAATGTTAGGATATCTGACATTTGCTTCAAAATAACTTGGGGTGAGGGAATGAGAGGACATTCATGAAATGGGCTGGCCACGTGCTAGTCACCCTTGCAGCTGGACGTTGGGCACCTAGGGCTTCCGTATACTGTTCTTACTTCCATGTGTGTTTACGATTTTTCATAATTTAAAAAATGCTGGAAAAATACTAAAAAGTAGATATTTTGAGTCATTAAAATTTCAAGCCACAAAGGATCATTGACATGGTAGGAGGAGAATTAGGAAATCTAATCTGTTTCAACATTAACCAAAATGAATCAAAGATGATCATTTTACATTAGACTGAAAGATGATTTTTGCTTAAACATTTTGTTTTGGGCAAAGTCTTAGATCCCTTTACAAATTTTCAAAGAAAGGGGGAAGGATGGAGTGGAATGAGCATTCACAGTTTATTTTGTACATCCTTGTCTTCCTGTTTCTAAATGTTAAAGAGCAAATTTAGAATTTATATCTCAGTAAACAACGAGGTTTTTGCTTCTGGTGCCATAATTCTTGCCAAAGCAGTTTGCTTTTATTACATCTCTGTGCTAGGAGGCAGTGGGGTAAAAGAGAAAAAAAAATGTCATCAGGCTTTGGAAAAATAGCTCGTTTCAATGCAACAGAGTAAAATATAGCAAACTGGAGTCTTCTATTTTTGAAGGATGTTCAAAGTCAGATTTTATTTGGTTCATATTTTTAAAAATCATAACTTTGGGGATTGTACCCTGCCATGTAATTGTATTTTCACACACTTCTGGATGATTCAGCATATATTTACTCCATTTCGGAGACTTTGATTAAAATGAATCAAAATAGTTGCAACCATGCTTATCACCTTGTAATAAAAAGATAAGTGCAGAGTTTAATTGTCTTTATTCTTTCGTAACAGGAAAATTACTGCAAGTTAATTCAGGTGCCAAAGAGCAACTCTTTTTTGAAGCTCCAAGAGGCAAACGGCATATAATAAGACCTTCAGAGGTAACAGTCATTCCCATAGCGCTTTAAAAAGTTATTTCATGAGGATTTATTATGTTCATTTTAGTAAAACCTATCATTGTTCACTAATGTGGGTTATATTTAGTGTAGCTTTGAGCCTGATCATTTCTTACATTTGACTGCTTCCTCTGGTTTCCTGCTTCCTAAGGACATGCAGACTTACTACACCACTGACGTAGCAAGACTCAGTCGGCATTCTGCTCAATCTTCCTCTGCCAGAAGACAGTGAGCTAACAGTTCGGATGCTACGTAGTACTTTTCCTCTTCCACATGTCCTGTTGTTTTATGCAAAGCTTTTTATAAGCATAAATCTTTGAATCATGCTTTCTCAGGGTTTACTGTTTTTAATAATAAGCAATACCTTCTGCAACAATAAGATAAATTATTTTTCAAAACAAAGCCATTCACAACCTGACCATCCTAACGTAGTAGAATGTTTCCTTTGTCCACATTTTCCTCATTCCCTTAGCCATGTACATAATTTTTTAATTGTTGAAATCAAGGCTTAGGTAACATTTTTGAATCCATGAACTAATGGCTGCTTTTGTGGACCAGCACCCCTTTCAGAGGCTGCACAGCACTTCCCTGGAGTGAACCCCGCTGGCCAAAAGGTCATTGCGTGATTGAGCACTAAGGACGTTCTTTTAGTCCCAGGAGAAATTCTGACCCATTTATTTGCTAGGTAACAGAAGAAATATTGCTTCCTTAGAAGAAAAGAGGTTAAGGGTACACTGCTGAGGGACAGGCGTCTTCCTCTGTCTAGCCTCAGTTAGCCAGTAATATAAACTATCTGAGTATCCTAAAGTACTCCCAGAGACGTCGACTTGCGTCCACTTGTAATACTTTCACTGTTGCTAAAAGAATGTAAGTGTGATACATGAGGACACAAGCTGCTATGGATGATGGCATTGTATTCATAGCAACTCGAAAGTGATCAGTTGATCTCATTCCCCAACTCCAGTTTATCTATCTTTGCTCAGTCTTCGTTTTAACTTTTTTTTATGGGGAAACATTTATAGTCTTGAGTAAGGGGTTCATTGTTCATTCACTGAACACCTGTGGAATGTGCCAGGCACTTCATACACCTAGATTTCAATCCTCACAACAGCCTTGTGTGATAGTTGTCAGTCTCATTTTACAGACAGGGACTAAGGCTCCATGAAAGTTAAAGGACCACAGAGCTGTGATCCCAGCCTAAGGGGTCCGTGTGTGACTCCACAGCCGAGACCACGCAGCATCCCTGTACATGGCTCCACCTGTATTTTCCCTTCCTGTTCCAGTGCCCCAAAATAAGTATACCAAAGTAACACACAGTCTAACCAAATGGTGGAGGGGGCATAAGGCCAACTTGGGACAGATGAGCAACTATTATGTTAAAGAAAAACAAAACATGCGAATGGGAAATCTGTGTTGAGGCTTCCTGAAGGCCAGGCTCGGCTCTGGAGAGTGAATAACTTGTCAGTCTGCAGTGCACATTCGTTGTCCCAGAGACTGACCTCTGTGCTGCTGTTTGAGGGCTCCCTCCAGCTGGTGTCTCCTCAGCCTGGCCCCCCCGGTATTGCCACTGCCAGGAGCTCCAAAGAGGTAGCTCGTGGTTTTACTCATCAATGTTTGACTGTGAAGGATTTTGAAAAATCTCCTTTTCAAAAAAGACTTTTTTAAAGAAATAGCCACGGTGAAACTAATACAAAGGTTACCTAGCAAAGTGTTAAAAATGACAAATATTAAAATGTCCACTTATATCCAGCCGCCTGATGCAGTGTGGTGCCATTAAAGCCGCTCCGTACCAGGAGGCCAGCCCTCTGAAACTTAGCTGCCCCTTTGCTTCCTAAACAGGCTGCGATTTAAGTGATCACCTCTCCCTGGGCTCCAGTCACCTCCTCTGCAAAATGGTGATGATAATGACATACCTGCCTGGGGCAAGGTGCTATGGAAGAAAGACCCCTTGAGGGCTCTCCTTCCATCTAAACTCCAAGGGTTTTAACAAGTTCATTTACCCCTTTGGGGTTTGTGGGTTACAAGGATCTTTCTTAATGCTTCATTTAAAATGCAACTTCTGTAGGTCTCAACAAGTTAGACGTTTGCTTCCCCTGGAGAGCACGGTGTCCAGATCTGGCCCAGGGAGTTCTGCTGGGGTGACAGGACAGTGAGCAGTACCAGCTCACTCCCCTTTCCTCCCTGGATAATGAGTCCAGGGAAGGTGCCACCCATGGAGGTGGCATTGGAGATGGACAAGGAGGGTGTCAGAAATGGAACCTAGTACCTGTCAGAGAGTCAGTGGCCAGAAAGCCCATTTCTAGAACCAGAGGGGAGGTTCCCTGCTTCTCTTCCTATGAAGGTCAGTTTAGGGTGTCATAAGGAGTTGGGGAGACTCCACTTGACCTGCAGGAAACTGAGGTAGTTGTTGGTGAACCCCTTCATGTCACCTCAGTCTGTGACCCTGCCTGAAGCACCCCAAATCACTGGGTCAGCCACAGCTTTTTAGCTCCAGTTCTGCGTGTGTCCAGAGGAAACACAGAATGCTAAATGAGGAGAAATTTGAGCAAGTGAAATATTTATAGCACCTCCACACTGTGACTAAAATCCTGGCTGCTTCTTTATCTTACCATTTCTCTTCTAAGCAGTGGTACTAGGCAGAAAACAACAGAAATGGAGGCGAGGTGCATTAAGAACATGCAAAATGATTTCCAGGTCCAAAGGGAGCAATCTGGCCTTTAATTTTAGCTAATGACTTTTTATACCCTTTTAAATGTGCTATAATGTGTTTATGTAAAGAAACTAATGTGAAGGTATATTAGTGGACCTTGAATGAGAGTAAATGAGATCACATCCCCCAGAAAAGTCTGATCCACAGTGATAGTTATGGTGTTTTATTTTTCAAAAAAGAAAATCTTCAATTTTATCAGGATTTAACCTATATGAACTGCAAATATTCTGTCCATGAAGTTCACACAAAACTGTTTTAAAGAATAAATATTTGTGTTAATACAATATGAACAGCTTTTAATTTTTAAGATGGTCTCTCCAGAGCATAAAGAATAATAAGCTAGCTGCAGAATCATATTACTCTTTCCTCCAAGGAAGCAGCCCTGTAAAAAGTTACGTCCTGTGACTTTTTAATATACTTTGCTAAATGATCAGCCCCATTGATCAGTCTAGCTAAGTGGTTCTCAACTGGGAGCAATTTTGCCCCCTTCCCCAGGGACATTGGGCAGTGTCTGGGGACAACCTGGGGAAGGGATGCTACTGGCATCCATCGAGGAGGACAGGGGTGCTGCTAAACATACCACCAGGCACAGAGACAGCCCCTGACAGCAGAGAAGTATCTAGCCTAAAATATCAGTAGGGCTGATGTTGAGAAACCCTGACCTGGCTTATGGCATCTACAATGATGAATATCTAGTTAAGAACAAAAAGACTTTGTCATTGTCAGATGTCCAGAGTCCCAACATGTTCATCTTATCTAGGAGAAGTTATATGGAGATTTGACTGCAATGTTGGATTTTTGAGACAACTGCATATATCACTTAAAAAATGCAACTGAGAATTTCTGCACTGCAGCATACAGCACAAATGCCTGGTGTTGGCAGTCACTGTTTACAACTACTCAGCCTCAATATGTTTCTTTTAAATAAAACAAAAAGATCTCTAGGTTGTACAAAAATATATTAATTTTTCCTTCCTTCTTTACAAGATTGAGAAGATAGAGTGGGACACATGGACCTGCGTGCTGGGGCCCACCTGTGAGGGAATCTGGCCAGCACACAGCGATGTGACCGACGTAAATGCTGCCAGTCTCACCAAAGACTGTTCCCTCTTAGCCACGGGAGATGATTTTGGCTTCGTTAAGCTCTTCTCATATCCTGTCAAGGTAATACTACATGTTTACTATACATACCTGCTCAGTCTCATTAATAGCGCAAAATCTAGCTATTAAATCTAAGTAAATTTTTAAATATTGAAGGCATAAGCAATCAATAATGTTATCTACTGTATCAAGGTTTTTTATACTGTATAAAAACCTTTGTGACATTATGTTTACTGTTTTGAGTCACATTCTCGTGGCATAGAATTCCTCCCTGAAAGGCCTTCAGTGATCATCGAATCCAACATCTCACAAACTACCAAGTAAGACTTTTCTGTTCATCTTGGACTGGTATCTTTACTAGCAAACTTCCAGAGATGAACAACTTACCACCTCACAAAACAGCTGATTCATTTTTAAGTAGCTCCTGTTGTTGAGCTGAAATTTTTCCCCTTTAGCCAAAGTTCTGCCTTCCGAAGCATCACTGAATGATTCCAGTCTCCTCACAGCTTTCATGCGTGGAAGGATCGTATTTGACTCCCTGAAGTCTCATTTTCTCCAGCCTCAACATTTCCAGTTCCCTCAGTCGTTTCGCATGTGACCTGGTTGCCAGCTGCCCCCTCCCTCTAAACATAATTCATTTTATAAATTCCATTTTTTTTCATCTTCCAATTTTATTGAGATAATTGACATAGAGCACTGTTTAAGTTTATGGAATACAGAGTAGTGATTTGACTTACATCATGAAATGATCACCACAATAAGTTTAGTGAACATCTATCGTCTCATACAGATATATAATAACAAAGCAAGAAAAGAATTTTTTCCTTGTGATGAGACTTAGGATTTACTCTCTTAACTTTCATTATATCAAACAGCAGTGTTGGCTATAGTCATCATGTTGTAACATTATATTCCTAGTATTTATTTATCTTATAATTGAAAACTTGTAGCTTTTGACCACCTTCATCCAATTCCCCCACCCCTCACCTCTGGCAACTATAAATCTGATCTCTTTTTCTATGAGTTTGTTGATATAATTGACCTACAACAACACTATGTTAATTCCTTATGCAAGCATAGTGATTTAGTATTTCTATGTATTACAAAATGATCACTGCGGTTAGGGTAGTTACCATCTGTCACCATACAAAGATATTCCATTATCATTGACTGTATTCCTCACTCCGTCCGTTTCATCCCTGTGACTCATTTATTTTGTAACTGGAAGTTTGTGCTTCTTAATCTTCCTCACCTGTTTCAATTCCATTTTCTACTGTCTCATCGAAAACTGAATTCAGTGTTTCAGATGTAATCTGACCAGCTCAGGGTACAGTGGGACTCTTTTGTTTTAATTTTATTTTTGTATTAAATCAAACTAAAATGGCATCAGCTCTTTTGGGTGCCACACCACACAACCTAATCATAGATATTATTCCCCAAAACATTCAGATCATCTCCATCTTGGACTTACACAATTGATTTTCTAAAAACTGAGCACAGACCTTCATATTTGTACCAAGTAAGATTTATCTTGTTTATTTTCCATCCTTGTTCCAACCTGGCAACATCTTTGAAATACCTTTTCGGAATACTTACTTCCCCTTCCAGCATCGCATCATCCTGATTTTACAAGTGTGATTTCCAAATCACGGAAGAAAAAAAAAAAAAAAGACAGGAACCACCGAACACCACCAAGAACCCATATTCAACGTGGCATTCTGTTCATTAAAGCACATGTATCAGAAACAGACATTTTAATCTCTGACGCTCCTAGCATAGAGCTCACGTTTCTATCTCTAGTCCAACGAGACATCATGAAAACTTGGCAGGTATCTTGCTAAAAGGCAGGTTGTATCCCTAATCTCACCTAATAAATCAGGCAATAAAAGACATGCAGTTAGTTTGCAGTGAACCCCTGTTCCTGCCTAGTCATCATTACTATCTGTTCCGAGCGCCTGTTGACCTTCTGGGTAATAGTTCACCCTAGCATTTTCCAGGAGTTGCATCAACTCATGAACCAGTATTTGCCCGTCTGCTTGGTTTCCCTTTTGGATACAGGAACCTTTTTTTGTTTGTTTTGGGGTTTTTTGTTTTGTTTTCTTTTGTTTTTTTGGATGCCACCTCTCCTGGTTTCTAAACTCTCAGCTAATACTGACCTTATTACTGTGGTCACATTTGAAGGTGTCTGTATTCACGGACATGAGCTCTGTTTGACCCTTTCTGGCTTGAAGAGCATTCTCTTTAATAGAGGAGTTAACTAAATCTGCTTTCTGTTCATATTACACCATCTGATGTAAGAAGTGTTCCTAACTTTTCTGTTTTTCTTCTAGTCCTAAATGTATCTTTAAAATCCTTTTCAGTTGTTTTGGGTTTTGACCTTAACATTCCTGAAAGAGCTGTCTGTGCAAGACTTCTGTGCTCATCCCTGGTTATTCACTCCTCTTTCTATCATTAGTGCATTTAAAACCTTAAAGCCACAACCAACTCCCTCTTTAGCCACCTTGGTTTCTTTAGATGCCTTCCTCTTCCCTTCTTCATTTGTTAAAATCTCATCAGGTGATCATTCTTGGTAGCCTTTTCTAAGATACACTTCTGATCATGTCCAGTGTTCCCTTCCTTGTCCATTCCAAATTCCAAAGCCACCTGGCCACCTTCTCCCAGTGATTCATCTCTTCACTCTCATGTTATCAGCCCTTCCTACTTGATCAGAATCCAGTTCTATGTAGCAGTTTTCACTGCTACTTTTACATTTTTTGAAATGAGACTGCTAGCAGAACAAGTCAAGAGGTTAGTGATACCCGGGTTTAGCAGACTAAGGTTTGGGCAGATTTAGATACCAGAAGTCCTCATGGTACCATTGCATCGTGCTCTGGAGCTAAATTTATTGTTGATCCTGGGACTTCATCGTCCACATCCCAGCCTGACCAAGCGGGCTGTCCGTCTATCACAGTAATTTCAAACTGTGTTCTTCCAGCTCTCAGAGTTCCAGGAAGCTTCCTCAGAGACAACCCCAGGAAACAAGGCAGGGTCAACCAGAGGGGCTCTGGGGTCCCACCCCTGCTCCAACCAGAGTCTCTCTGTGTTTTTGTACTTTATATATTGAGCATCTGTGGAGATTTTTTCCCCAACATTTTGTTATGAAAATTTTTAGGCATACAGATAAGATGAAAGAATAGCACAGTGAACTCCTAGAAACCCACCACCTAGATTCTGTAATTCAAAGTAAATTGATGACATCGGGATACTTACCCCTAAATGTTTCAACATGCATCTCATTACCGAGAGTTCAACATTTGTTTAGTATTTTTAAAGTAAAATTTTTAAATTTAGTTTTTAGAATTTTAAGATTTTAGAATTGAAAACTTTATAGTTGAGATGAACAAATTTTATGGTTCCTTTTGATGCACTTTGACAAATATATATCCGTATGTAATCCAAATACCTATCAAGATACAGAATGTTACCCCCCGGGAATTTTCCTCATGGTAACTTCCAGGTCAGTCCCCACCCCCACTCTACCCTCAGATGAAAAACCATTCCAGTGTTTTTCACCATAGATTAATTAGCTTACCCTGTGTCAGAACTTCATATAAATGGGATGATCAAATAGATTTCTTCATGTTGTATGTAACAATAATCCTTCCTCTTTATAGCTGAGTGGAATTCCCTTGTGTGGATATAGGAAAGTTTGTTTATCTACACAGCTGTCAGTGGACACATGCTTTTCCCATGTTTGGTTATAATGAAGCTGCTATAGACATCTTTGGAAAAATCTCTGTGGACATACATTTTCTTTATGAAATATGTAGGAGTGGAATTTCTGGGTTATAGGGGAAAATGTATGGTTAACTTCTTGAGAAACTGCCAGACCTTTTCCCAAAGTGGTTGTATTTTACACTGTCACCAAAAATGAAAGAGGTTTCAGTTGCCAGTTAGGCCTTGTCAGACTTGTAAAATGTAGCCGTCCTGAGGAGTAGATAGTGTGATCTTTTGTGTTTGTAACTTTCGTTTCCCTGGTGTCTAATTTTACGGAGTACTTTTTTGTTTGCTTGTTGGTCACTTGTGATGTGTTTGCACATATCTTTTGTCCACTATTTTAAACTGGATTGTTTATCTTTTTATTCTTGAGTTCCACTATGTGTAAGATTTGATGGAAGAAATAGTTTCATAATTTAAAAGCATTTGAAAACCACTGGTCTGTATAAACCACCTTGATAGTATCACTTCTCTTCCTTTTCTTTTAAATCTGATTTTTCCAGCACTCTTTCCTTCCCAGATTCAGGGACCCAGGCTGATGAACATTTCTAGCTGGATAGTCCCACTCTTCCAGTGCTGAGTGTGTTGGCCAAAGTTCACCATCTGTTATGAACTGAATGTTTGTGTCCACACCAAAATTCATATGGTGAAGCCCTAACACCCAATGTGACTAGATATGTACAGAGAGCATTTAAAGAAATAATTAAGGTTAAATGAAGTCATAAGGGTGGGGCTCTGCTCCAGTAGGATTAGTGTCCTTATAAGAAGAGACACCAAAGAGCTCACTCTCTCCGTGCACGCACGCACTGAGGAGAGGCCAGATAGGCACTTTCTGTGTGCTCCTGTAGGGGGTCTGTAAGCCAGGAAGAGAGCCCTCACCAGGAACCAAATTGGCTGGCACCTCTTCCCAGCCTCCGGAACTGAGAGAAGTAAATTTCTGTTATTTAAGCCACCCAGCATGTGGTATTTTGTTATGGCAACCCTGCCAGCCTAAGATACCCTCCCATTGCCGTGTTCTAGTGCTGAGTACCATGTCAAGCCTTAGTGCTGCCTAGGAGATCTTACTGTAATCACGCAACTCTCTCTTTGCCCAAAATTCAGGTTCCATTGTTAGACTCTAACGTCATGTCTTCTTTGTTCTCCTTTCCTATGAGTTACTAGGTGTCTCTTGCAGGCATCTTTCTGTCCTGACATATTCCTTATATATGCAGTTTTACAGTATAAAATCTTGATGAGGGCATCAGCCCCCTCATAATCACATTGTCTCCAGCCTCCATAAGATAGACTCTCCTATCTGTCCAGTACCTTCAGCCACGTCCCAGAAAATCCAATGCTCTGCCACCATCTGTATAGCCACCTGGTGCTTCCCACAGCCTCCCTTCCTTTCCAAATCTGGTCTCTTACACTGTATCAGAGAGGTTAAAGTACCACCATGTCATGTACATTTTAAAAATCTACCCTCAAGTTGTCATGTTTCCTTCTCAGAGTATCAAAGCTCTAGAGAATGGTTCTTCAAAGAGGAACCTCATAGGTAAAATTTTATAGGCAGAGAAGCAATATGTAAAATGTTGTGAATGTGGGAAAAGGGTACACAGCTTTCATCCAAGTCTCAGGAATTTCTCACCTAAAAGCAGTTAACAGCCAGCATGCTGGAGACGTATTCCAGATTCTCTACTCTTTCATGACCCAGTGCAAGAGGAAGGTGGTGGTAGTTAGTCCCGATGGGTGTTACAGAGATACAGAGATGTCTGGCACAGTGACCCAGGGAGACAGCTCACCTTTCTGGCTGGGCCATGTCTCCAGAGGTTCCTTCCACAGGCCCTAAGGGGACCAACAAACATCCTGCTCCTGGGAGGAGCATCTGGCTTCCTGGAACCTTCTAGTAACCGTGAATTCCCATCATTGTTCTCTGGAGCAGTGATCTTGTTTCCTATTCTGAGAATCTTAAATCATCTCTGCTCGAAGAATCTCAGCTTTGTTCAACAGCCTCAGTGACTCAATTTTTTCCTCTTTCTTGCCTGTGTCACTCTCTTTCCCCTGCAACCTGATTGTGGTTACTTTAGAACATTTCTTCCTTTGTCTCTTTCTTTTTGGATTCTTCTGTCCTGTCTCTGTGTGTGAGTACAGGGAGGCGTTTCTCATGCTCTTTCACTTTCTCCTCCTCTCAAGAAACCAGCTTACCTTTGTCTTGGATCAAATGGGTAGGTTCCTGCTTCCAGCAGGAGGACCAGCAGGACGCATGGCTGTAGCCACTGTGACGGTCATCTTTGTTTCCATGCCTGCTAGAAACTCACATGGTCACACAGTGGTTTCCTTTGGAAATTATTATTTTGCTCTCCCTACTCTCTAGCAAATTGTGGCTCTGGAGGGCTTCCTAAGAATGCTGCCTGCCTGCTGGCTTCCCTAATCTTTCTAGACTCAGTGCTCTACAGAGGGGTGGGCACTTTCACTCTGCTATCAGGTAGGGGTCAGCCAAATGCACAGAGATCTTGACCAAGAGTATTTCAAAGTCGCACACTCTCCTGCCCTGTCTCCTGCCATGTGTCTGCGCTGGCTTCAGGTTTCCCAGCATGCCCGTCCAAAACTCTCTGGAAGCCTCTTGCCAATGATTGAATAAAGTTTTCATCGGAGGGAGCAATGGCCCTTGCACGACCTCACAAAGTGCATGCAGCTTCCCACGTTGCATAAGGCATTCCCTGGGAGTCGCTGAGAGGATGGAAAATCTCTCCCACTTTCAGTGGCTCCCGCTGGAGCTGTTTTTGCCAGGCTGTGGCTCACAAGCCAAAAATGGAAGCTGGTTTCTGGTGCCAGCTTGGGCTTCCCACTGCTTGTCAGGACTGCCCCGGGGTGAGCAGCTGGTCTCACCTCAGCCTCATCCTTCTCCACCTGAGGGTGCACGTGGTGTGGCCTGGGCACCACTCTGAAGAGCTTTCAGTAGTTACTAATAGATTGGGTTCTATTTATTTGGTTATATTTGATAAAAAACACCTTACTTTGTTTTTGTGTGTGTTTTATTTTTAAGGTGACATGTCAACTTGTTTATTAATTGTATTTTTCATTTTGTATTCTTTATTTGGGGGTTTTGTGGTGGTTTTTTCCTTTTTCTTAGAGCTCACTTTGTTTTAAAATCAGTTGAAAGTTTCTAGTATTAGAAATTGTTTCCAGTGTCCATGGCAGAAACTGTGGCATTGGTTTTATATCTTACTTGAGGCCCCAGGATTGTAAAAAAGAAGTCCCTGGCTCTTCTGTCCCAGCTGGGCTGTGAGGGGTGACTGGAAAGACACTCCTGATCTCAAATGTCAGCCTGACTCACAATCAGGAGTTCACACTGGAGACCTGAGGAGAATACATATTTGATATTCGAGAGAAACAGAAACAAGCTTTTTATACTTTCTTAAGCTAACTTTTTCAGCTTCCAGAAATAGTTTCTGTAGTTTATTCCTTCCCTCAAAAACTGTTTATTGAGGACCCATGATGAGGCAGGAAATGTTTCAAGGAAGCAAGAAATCGAGTCCCTGCCCTCGTGGAGGTTACATCCTAGAAAAATGTGGGGAAATGACAGCTTGGGGGAAACGTATATCCAGTAGAAGCCACGCTAGAGAATAACCTGGATGGAACAGTCCAGAAGAAGGAAGGATGAGGTTCCGGGTGGGGTCATCCCCAGTTTCTGGCTCCGCAGGGCCAGCACGCAAGATTCAAGAAGTACGTGGGCCACAGCGCCCATGTCACCAACGTGCGATGGCTGCACAACGACTCGGTGCTGCTCACAGTGGGCGGCGCCGACACGGCCTTGATGATCTGGACCAGGGAATTTGTGGGAACCCAGGAGAGCAAGCTGGTGGACAGTGAGGAGTCGGACACCGACGCGGAGGAGGACGGAGGTGAGCCTCAGCGGTCACGTGCCAAGCGCGCCTCCCTCCCCGCCCCATCCTGTGCCGCCGCAAACCAACTCTGCCCTCTTCCCGTGTGTCTCTGTCATTTGAGGCTATGACAGCGACGTTGCGAGAGAAAAGGCCATTGATTATACCACCAAGATCTACGCTGTGAGCATCAGGGAAATGGAAGGCACCAAACCACACCAGCAGATGAAGGAAGTTTCAGTGGAAGAAAGGTATGGTGGTGCCGGGTTTGTTTGCATTTATTAAACTTAACGACAAGAAACTTGTTGAAACCACAGTGAATTTTCCTTTGCCCTAAAAGGTGCTTCTCAAGCTAGTCTTTTACGTATATGCACAGTCTTAACCAGCACACAGGCTTAAGCTGGAGGAGATGGTCCACAGCCATTGTGAGAAAAGGGTGGGCTGCACTTTGCAGAAGTCGTGTGTGGAAAATGCCTCCAATAGACATGAGACTTGGTTAGACTAGAGAGGGTGTGAGGAAAGCCCAGAACCGTCCTGAGCGTGATGGCAGACAGGAGAGCGTGCTGACTCCAGAGATGGGAGGAAAGGCAGGCTTCTGAGGTCTCGGAGGAACATCTGTGGTTTGTGAAAAATAGTCTTCCATCCTGACAGTAGTCTGCGCACCAGGCTGCATCCCTTGCTGTGCCTTCTCCTACTGTGTCTTCACCTGCCCAGCTTTGTTCAGGAGTGTTTGGCGATTCCAGGCTTAACCAGTTTGATTTTGTTGCCGTGATCCTCTGTGTAGAAGGAGGGTTTCTAGTAGTATTTTGGGCCTTTTTGATGTGCTATTGTAAGTATTGATAAGAGAAAACACTAGCATTTCTAAAAAAAAAAAAATTCATAATTACAACAATGCTTTAATTTACCATACTCATACTAAAGTGGAAAATATTGAGTAAAAACACTAATATCTAAAGAGAGCTTCATGGATCTCAAAGACGTTTAAGAATTATCTGTGGGCTCTTCATATTGACATGAGTTCAGTGTTCACAAGTACCCTGATCTCATGATATATAATTAATGGGGTTCAAGTTGGCTTTTTTGCATTCAGCATGGCTTTATGCTTAGTAATAAATATTTAATAGATCTAATCTATCACCTTTTACTATTAGGTGAAAATTTAGATACAAAGAAATGTCATTTCCCTCTCCTGCTTCAGTTCAGAACCAGATGTTAAAATAAGCCTGATAAATGGTGGATGTGCTACAGGCAAGAAGATTGAATTGATACAAAAAAACCCTAATTCTTTCCTAGCCTCTTTGTTAAATGTTACTCTCAGGGTTCAGAGTTGTCTTTTGATTAAAACAAAATTAGAGATTTTTCTGAAGTAGTCATTATGGTTTATTTTGCTTCTAACATTTTTTTTTAGTGGCTGCAAAGAGGAAATATTTTTAAAGGATATAAATCTAAGGAGAAAGAAAAAAAGCCGTATGCATATAAATGTATGAATAAGCCTTCCACTTAAATACCACCCTAAAAAACATTTGGCCTAAATTAAACATTCTTTTGAAAAAAAAATGACCCAGCCTTTCCAATTTCACATAACGTTGTGAAATGAATCAACTTGACTATTATTCCAAGGCTGCTTCTGGCTAATTTCTACAACCCAGTGCTTCATTCTGCTGAGATTTACACTGGCCACTAAGATACAGACATCTAATCAAATTCCTAATCCCAAACACTGCAGCTGCTTTCTCTGAACCTCTCTTGGTCTTATTGTCTCTTTGGATGGATCTTTAAAAATTTCATACCTGCCCAATTTAGCAGGAGGTAAGAAAGGTGACAGTAGAGAGGACCCTAAAATTTTCAGTCTTAAACTTCAGAATTTTGAAGCTACCTCATTTTTTTCCATCATGCCAGATTGGAAATTTGTCATACACTAGCATAAACAGGATTGACTTTTTAAATATGAAAAAAAAAAAGCTTCATAGTGTTGTGAGACACTGGGGTAGGCATTTCAATATTTTACTGGCATTTAAGAAACTAATTCACACCAGGGTGTAGTGAAGAAAACGTGTAGTGAAGAAAACAATTTTAAGATATAAATACAGGGTCCAGAGGAATAGACAAGCCTTTTCTATAATAGCAACATGCTTGATAACTTAAAAAAGCCTTGACAGCATCAGTTCCCAGAGGGGGCTGTAACCAAAGAGAGGGCTGCCAGCTGCACAGCATGCTGGGAGCAAAGCAGGACTACACCAGGAAGAGGCGAGGGAAGGAGCAGGAAGTGGTGTCTGAGTTAGCTGCCTCCATGGGGGTAGGTCACCTCCTAATCAGAACTGACAATCAAGTCTCCTCCAATCCTTATCATTAATTCTAGGAGACTTTGAACCTCAGAGATAGGCAGCTTATGAACTGCAGAAGAAAGGGGTGCCAGGCACGGCGGGCATTCAGAGGATTTGTGAGAGCATGATGAGAGGGGGAATGTGGGGCAGGACCAAGCCTTTGGGGTAGGGGGGACTCTTTGCTAACAATAAGTCAGGCAGGCAGCTCACCTGAGTCCTCACCTGGGGTGCAAAAGGGGCTCCACGGACCCCAGCATCCCAGGCGTCAGAGAAGCAAATGCTTGAGGCCTCAGGCGTCAGGCGCAGGGGGCCAGGCAGCACCCAGGTTCTCCCTGGGAATATTTGGGACTGTCAGCCCTGGCACCGCTCCCTTTAACTACTTCATGCCCTGCTAATTGAAGAGGCAGAGACTCCTTTACCTTCCCTTCATTGTTCTGTCCTGTGTGTATGTGCAGATACCTGCTCGTACCTGGGTGCGTGTTCTAAACACCTGTGTCTATTCATGTAAGACTAACGGGAGACAAATTCCTGAGGACCTCCAGATAGGAGCTCGGAACACCTGCTCAGTGCAGGGGCCTGTTTTGCCTCCTACCAGTATTCCAGGCAGTTCTTCTTCTGGTTTAAATCCTTTCCACCTTAGAACCCCTGAGATGAGTGTGGTGTCTGTCATATTGAGAACAGTGCCTTGATGGCAGCTGTATATTATGCATCAATTTTAAGCAACTGAATTCCTAATTCCTAAACTTTAAGATAGTCATAAATTATTTCTGATTGGACTCGGTGTGATTTTTAAGTAGCGGGGAGGCTGTGGATTGTGCTTCTTAGTACAATTTCTAACACATTATGAGTTCCTATTCTTCAGAAGCCATATGACCTTTAGTTCCAGTCTTTTGAGAGGTGGGAAAGTGGAAAGAAATGTGTTGTTGCTGCCAGAAGAACGCTGGGCTACCCCTGCCAGTATGTGCTCTCTTCCTGGTATTGATCAAGCGTCCTGGTCACCCACGTCAGCTTTGCTCTAGCACGCTGGGCTGCCTTGCCTCTCATCCAGCCAGTCCCCAGCCTTGGGTGAACCCTTGGGTAGTTCTGCTGCTCAGCCATATGTGGCACGTGGCTGAGGAAAGTCAAAAAGTCTTTTCCAATGTCAGGAGTCCGTGCTCCCAGACCTTATCTAGCGCTCAAAGCACGCTCCTTGGTCTCCAGCTAGTCCGTCGAATTCTAGCCTAGAGCAACCTTTCCAAACCTGCCCTGCCTCTCAAGTTCCCAACTCCAGCCTGATGCACCTCCTTGCTCTCAACTTTTGACCTCATCTCCTAGTTTACATGTTTCCTCACAATGGAGTAGCTGTTTTGTCTATCTGCAAACTTTAATTTATTACTTAAGAAGTGTTTAAATGTCAGGAAGCTTCTCTTGAGAAAGTTTTTAAAAATAGGAGGCAAGAAAGCTTAGTTTTCCAGAGCAATTTAAAGTTCAAAATGCTTACTGTTATCATAACTCAAGGGATGGTGCAAAAATCCTGTCCTCTGACTTCGGTAAAAACAGTTCTCCCAAACTTGCCGGGAGATTAAACCCCTAACGTTTTCTCAGTACCAGTTACTAGAGTTGCCTGGAAAATTATGTTTTTTTCAACACATTAACAAGTTCATACCTTGTTTATATATTGTTTCTTGAGTTAAGGGATTTTAGTCTCAAGGGCGGCACCCATCCCAAACTGGCTTAAGCAAAAGGAAACAACTGGCTTTCATACCTGAAAATCCAGGGATAGGATGTCTTCAGGTGTCACTTGATTGGTGGGGGTGGGGCACGGCTCAAATCTTGCTACCAGGACTCGACTCTGTTCTCTCTCCATATCCCAGTTCTGCTTCCTCTAGGTTATTGCAGTTCTTCAAGTAGAAAAATGACAGCAGTACCTAGACTGTATAGTCTCTGTGAGTGAAAGTCCTCACAGGTATCTTATGATGTGCTGGGAAATATGAACCTTTGATGATTCTGAAGTAGTCACATGCCATGCATAGACTAGCAGTGTAATCCCTCCACCAGAAGTAAAACTCCAGGGCTCTTAACCAAATTAAAGAGATTGATTTCTGGATGGACCCAAAACAATGAATGTCTACTACACGCCACCCTTTTCTTGTCATATAGACACTCTTAGGATGCCCCAGTTTAAACTATCCCACGTATGATTGAAAATGTTGTTATCCCCTTCCCAAAGAGAGAGATCCCAGAGTCTTAACCAGTTACTGCATCCAACCCCATATCCAGGATCGTGGGACATTGTGATGTCTTCTCATCCAGGTCCAGATAAAGCTCCTCATAGTTCTGTGGCTCCCGATAATGTCAGTCAGCATAACCTGTTGAATAGACAGTGAAGAGAGGAAAGCGTGAGGATAGTTGTTTTAAACGACCACTTGAAAGGAGGGAGAATGAGGTGCAATATACAGTGCTCACTGGTCCATGCCCATATCATCTTGAGTTGGACATGATAGTCAAGGATTTCTGCCCTCGCTCTGTGCGTGTTTTGCATAACTGGACAGTGTATGAAAGTTGGAAGATACCAATAGTCAGAGGATGTAAAGGTTTTGTTTATGACAAAAGATATAGACACATAATGGAAGTGAAAATGTAAAGTAGGAGGTAATATAATATCCCCTTAAAGAACTAGCTTCTCAAGTCTCCCAAATTCCTACTGGGATGCAGGCAGTGCCCTGTGGAGTAAGGAGTATTGTAGGTGTGGGAAACTTTGCTATGCTCTTGGGAGAATTTGTATCTTCCTGCCCCCACCCCAAGAACTCCTGGACTCTTCCAGATGCCCTGGCTCTGTGGTTGGCTGCTCCCCAGGTGACCATGAGCAGTGCACACAGCTCTGAAATGGGGAGGGGAAGGTCAACTTTTAGAGACCCAGAGACCCAAGTTTCAGGTCAATCTAAATT